TGCTTGCACGCACATTAGCCTTGATATTATTTCTCATAATCATGCCAGGCCAATCGTTCGATCGGCTGAGTGTCATTGGACTCTCCGCCTCGCCGGAAGCGAGCCAGGGAGAGCACCGACGTGCTGCCACCTGCTCTATCGATCCGTCCACCTACGCCTTTTACCTTCCTGCATTGCGTGCGGTACACACGGGCGTGCGTGCACGCGCCCCGAATGCGTTAATGCGTTCGTCAGTCGCTCCTTTTCGGCTTTGACTTTTTTTGTCTCAATGTATCCTGACTACACATTATATCTACATTTAGATGATTCGAGAGATAAGCAATAAAATAAATTTATACAGACACGCGTGGAATAAGATAAATTAAAGTTAAATATAGCCGGAAACACGAGAGAGAGAGAGAGAGAGAGAGCATTTATTTTACAAATGTTCTATTATTATCATTATGTATAATTATTATGATTTGTTTTATTACGCCGATCGATAAAATTATCAATGATTATTTTTTTAACAACATCCTTGCCAGCACTTTTATTTTTCTTATTATATGAATTAGTAATGTGTAAGTGCACAATTATATTGTGTACGTTTTATGTATTGTAGCTAAATTTTATTTATCGAGCAACGATTTATTCTCGTGATAAGTAATTTTGACCGTATATCATTAAAGACGGAAAATAGATTCGCGGATTTCTTGAGCTCTCCCATCCGAACTCATCTCGATACCGCGCGTTCTATCTGTTTCGAGAGCTCGCCCCTTTTCGAGGGGCTGGTTGGCAATCGGAATTTCCGAGTGACACCCGTATTTCCCAGCTATCGACATCGGGTTTCGCTTCGATACGTTCGAGAGCGATGAGCAATTTTGTATTTCGTCGCGCCCGTAAAATTTGTGCTATTTTCATATCGAGCCCGTGAATCGCGTCCGTCCTTTACTTCGGGAAGCATCTCGTCAAATTTTTCGCAACGCCAGCTGCTTGGATTGCATCTCAGTTTTTGGGAAAACTCGCTTTTATTCTCGCGATGTTCCCTCGTAAAGAAAAATTCCGGCGTCCGAAATCGCGATCAAAATCGAGAGCGGAAGGAAGAAAGAGACAGACAGATATACAGAGAGTAAGGGAGAGATGGCATCTCAAGAGAAGGTCAAATAGAAGCGCGGCAATCTCGCTTAAAGATCGACGAAGCTCTTGCGAAGCTCAGCATCTCCAAGTTAATTAAGGAAAACGACGCACAATTACGATGATGCGGCACCGTAAAACGACATAGATTAATCCTCGACTACTCCGGCCGTTTGGAACGTGACATGTTCGGAATAAAAATGCTCAGGGAGGAGAAAAAAATGTATTTAATTTTACTCGAGAAATTATGAGTTAAATATAATGAGAAATGTGGCACACATATATAAGAGAAAGAACCTTTGGATAGATTTGCCTTCCAGCAATCAATTAAGAGTAAACTAAATTTCGCATCTTAAAATAGATTATTAACGCAATTATTATCCACGTTTAACTGCTAACACATTTAATGATTTTAACGAAATGATTTTAACAGACAGTAATAAATATCATTCTCTGTGCGAGCGAGGGTTCTCTCCGAGAATTTATTATTGATCGTAGTTTCATGATCCCTCTTTATCCTCCATCACGAGACCAAATTTAGAAATCCATGTTTTATTAACAAACAGTTTTATCGCCGGCGTTTCAAGACGTTTGATATGGAAATTGACAGTCCCGGTCGGGCGATATCGCATATCCTTTGAGATCAAGAACCTGTAAAACGTGACCCGTACGCGTCCTGCACCTTAGAAATGCTCTCAACGAACGATTTAACCTTCTTTCCGCTTTTTGCCATCCGAATAATCGTTCTGAATCTTTGATCGTGACTCGCACGCCTAAGGCATCTCGACGAGAGAGAAATTGCCTTCGGACACTTTTGTCGCAATGAAAAATAATGAGACAGTATATTAATTCTTTTTAAATGATCAGAAGAGGGGGGGGGGGGGGAGGAGTACGGAAGAAACACAAAAAATCTTTAGATATAAGTTTAAAACAGCACATGCGTAACTATATTTTTTACATTCAAACTTGAAGATCCATAAATTGTGAAAGAGGATATTTGCATGAATGTCGCGAGAGTTATTAAAACACTCACTGTTTAATAAAACACACCACACACAATCACGTAGCACGACCTCTCATCGCTGTTTTATTAAAACGCAATTCTTGCGACCTCGATTCGTGGGGGATTCTTTTGTGTGCATACATCTTCGGAGAGAAAATCGCAGTTAATCATTAACGATTCGAAGAATCCACTGAAATGAACATCGAGAAACGATCAACGTTAGACCCCTCAGAAGGAGGGGGGGTCGTAGATCTTTATTAAAGCCGTTCAATTCCTTATCGGTCATGCTGCATTAACTACGTCTAATTTATAGAGGAGCGAGCGGAGGGCGAAGAGGGGGGCATCGTGTGCAAGGCGCGTGCGTTTTATCGGCTGAAAACTTGCGATTTATGCGATCGTGTTCCGGGAGGCGCTTTAAATAGCGGGCGAGCTCGCGCTATCGCACCGCTATTAAGTTAATCGCTTGCACGCTCGCATGCGCGTATGCATGTGTATGCGTGTCGCGGCGCGCGAACCCACTTTAATAAGAATAATAATAACAACAAGGCGAGGCGTACAGGTGGGGGAGGGGTGAAGGAGAGAGGGGCAGGAATTGAAGGGTGAGGTACAAAGAACGTCGGAGCAATCTTGAAACGCATTGACCCGGCACGGCGTTTCCTTTGGGCGTTTTCTTCGGGGAAAAAATTGAGAAAATTATTTTACGAAGTTTCCACAGTAAAAACCTTAATCTTTAATAACACAGAAAAGCGCGGTACTAAAAACACTTATGTAACATTATATATAAAGTGCCATAATAAAAGGAGGTCTTAAATGTTGCGTAACGCGCGGGAGATAAAGGACACAGGTAATAAAGGATAGCTCTCGTATTATATTTTCTACTGTACTATATTGTTTCGATAAAGGAGACATATTAAAATTTCTTCTCGTTATTTAAAATGATTTAAAATGAGAAACATTATGCTTACAAATCGAAGACACATCTACTTAATATTAAGTATCGTAGAATTCTAATATATGAAAAAAATGCTATGTTATTTTTAATATTCAAAATAAAACCAAAAGAATGTCGAACCCATAGAAAATTATATCTCGCATCACAATTTCTAACACAGAAAAGCGCGGTACTAAAAACACTTATGTAACATTATATATAAAGTGCCATAATAAAAGGAGGTCTTAAATGTTGCGTAACGCGCGGGAGATAAAGGACACAGGTAATAAAGGATAGCTCTCGTATTATATTTTCTACTGTACTATATTGTTTCGATAAAGGAGACATATTAAAATTTCTTCTCGTTATTTAAAATGATTTAAAATGAGAAACATTATGCTTACAAATCGAAGACACATCTACTTAATATTAAGAATCGTAGAATTCTAATATATGAAAAAGAATGCTATGTTATTTTAAATATTCAAAATAAAACCAAAAGAATGTCGAACCCATAGAAAATTATATCTCGCATCACAATTTCCATTTTATATTATTTTATTTTATTGATACTTTTAATCTGTGAAATTATAAAAAAATGATATTTTCGGAAATCTGTAACTGCATATATTTTTTTGCTATTTATCGCATACAAAACAGTAGCAGCGGTAAAAACGTGGAACTATTCACGTGTATGCGCACGCACATAGGTCGCGAGAGATATAAATCGTTCTACAAACTACGTTCCATAAATATTTAAAAGCTGATAGGAATAGATGTTTACTTCCGTGACGAAGGGAGTTTGCGATTTCACTCGCTTTTCCGATCGCGACGTAAATGTATCTCGTGTGATAAGGCTTCGTAAAAAGCCAGCGATCGAAAACGTCTAAAAGAATAATATATCTGGCAATTAATAATCCCCCGAGATTCTCTCGCTCGCCCTCCATTTACCGAGAACAAGTCGATGCCGAAGTAGAAGTAGAAAGCAAAAGGCCACCCTGCAACGAGCATCGGCAAGTTTCCAACGATTGTTTCCGATTCTGCTCGATTCCCCATAGAACGAAAAAAGTGACGTCTTCTAAAATCGGAGAACGTGCGTTTAATCTCGGATAAAGAAAAAGAGAAAGAGAGAGGGAAGATTTGAAGAATGCCTCTTTTATAAAATATCTTTATTAATAGAGCTTAACAATATAAATAAAATTAAATATTATATATGCTTTTTTATGATATAAAAAATTATTCTGCGTTTTTTTATGGATTTTTGTTTTCTGTAGATTAATTAAGAGCTCCCGAATAATTTCGAAGTGAAGCAAAAA